TAAGATCATATAAATTAAAGTTTAGCAGTAGTTAAATTTCATAAGATGATACTGTTACTTGTAGGTACCCTTCTCAGTTGAAATTGAAAACTCAAATTAACTTCTCCATAAGTGTTTTCAAAAAAGTAAAAGGGCTTAACAGCGGAGAACAATGCTGAACTCAAATAATGCAACTAAATTGTATTCTGGTTGGTCTTCCGTATTTGATAATTACTGTCCAACTATAAACACAAAATTACATTTCTTAATTACCATGGCTAATCTGATTGGTCCAAATTATACAATTTTCAAAGCGCTAGACAATGACAATCTCACACGGACATTTTGAAAGGTTGATGTTGCTTTTAACTAATGTTAAAATATTTTTTAAAATTCAATTTAATCATTTTTTAAAAATCTTTTTTAAAATTAAAGAAATAAGAAATAATTGTATTAAAAATTCAATTTTCATTGAAAAAAATTTTTTTGCTTTCAGAAAATATTGTCCATATTCATAAAAACAAATTAAAACAAATAAAAGCATTTGAAACTAAATAATATATTTGTTTTATGGAGTTTTGTATGTTACAATTCACAGCTGATTTTCAGGTACGTTGGCCAAAAAAAAAAAAAAAAAAAAAAAAAAACATGATTTGCATTCTTCAAAGCCTTGTGCTTTTAACTCTTGTAATCACTAAAACCGATGGTCTCGAAATTCTAGAGTTTTTCATAAAATTAGTTATGGGGGTGTTAATAAATATAAAAAAAATATTTCTGCCATGACTTTATTATTATTATTATTATTATTTAAAAAAAAACATATTTATAATAATTTCGATCATCTGTGAATAGTTTCTGAAAGTTTCATTAACATCTGACAATTATTTTTATTTTTGCAAGATTTTCCAAATTAATGTGTGTAAATACAAAAAACGCGCTTAAAATTATCTATGTTATTTACTACCTCTTGTTGGACAAAGAGAAACAAGGTTTTTTAAATCAAAATTTAGAATATTCTAAAAAGATGGAAAAATTTTTAAAAAATAATTAAAAAAAATTTAGTCTATCCTCTTCATAAAAACATAAGCATTTTGACAATAAAATTTTTGTTTTCATAAACTTTGGCGTCTTTTTCATCAGACTATGCTCTATGTTTTAGCGATTCCATTGGAGTGACTTAGGTTAAAAACCTAGGTTGTTTATGTGTGTGTGTGTGTGTTTCTTTATATATGGGATCGGATTTCTTACATTTTTCAGCCGATAAAACAAACATCCATTTTTTTTTTTCGGCAGGTAGTATTTCTTATTGTCTTGCACACTTTTTTTCTTTATTTACATTCAGAATGCTTTAAAAATTCCATTTACAAGACAATTGTTTATAATAAAAATTCTATTCACCAATCGATAGACTCATAACGATTGTAAACAATATTTTGTTTTAATTTGGGTTTGACCACCAAAAAAAAAAAAAAAAAAAAAAACTAATTAAGACATGTGTGTCCATCAACCTTAAACAATAATCTTTGTCAATTTTATTTTTCAGTCTTTATGATGGTCGATACTTGATCTATCTCTTACTGTTACATCCCCGGGCAACGCCGGGCTCTACTGCTAGTAATTTATAATCAGAAAGCATAATAATTTACAAGAAAAAAGCATAATAAGTTATAATCAGGAAGCATAATAATTGATAAGCATACTACATAAACGTTTTTTAATGACTGATTCAAATTGTTTTAACAAAACATTGATAAAAACCTATTATTTCCTGGCTTTATTAAAACAAAATTAGTTATTATGATCAGATCCTAATGTTTTTCACATTTAGATATAAATAATAGAAATATCTAAATTCAAGTTCTTCAACCTTCATTTTTAATTTGAGTTTAAATTGTTAAACTTTTGAATATTCCTTTTTTGCATGTGTCTATGTGTGTGCGTGCTCTATTAAAATCCTACCATTATTAATGAGTAGTAGGCATTTTATTTTCTTAAGAAATTAGTTGCTCTTAGAAATAATAATATAATTTTAATTTAAAATTTCATTTTCTCCTTGCATCTGAAACCTAACCTGTCATCTCCAGGATGTCAGAACAATGTTAATCTCAAGTCCTGATGTTGTTTTTAGTGAATGATTAGCTCATATATTCATTTTATAAACAATGTCCTATTATAATTGTGCTTTTCCCACAATTCATTATTTTGCACGACCATTGTGCTCTGCCAATACATCATAAATAATGGACTATTCTGTTTTGATTACATGGAGAAAGCAAAACAGATATCAGAGATACTACCTGGTTTCAGTGAGAAAATGTATGAAAGAAAGAAGGGAGGACAGAAGTGTTTAATGGCTGTTTCAGTGAAATGGAGAAAGTTGTCAACTTCAAATCTTTTCATTTGTACCCCCTTACTTCTAAAAATAAGGACCAGCATTCATATTTATGATTGCTATTGTAGTATTTTGTTAAAGTTGTTAAGCTTAAATATTTAATGATGTGATCAACTGAAAATTCACACCACTAAAGCCTGGGTCGCTTTGATTGAAATGGATGTAATCTGAAAATTCGACTTACAAAACAACCTCAAATGGAGATTCTCTCAAGCCACTGTAGAGGCAGTGTTAATATATGGTGCCACTGCCTGAACATTAACTAAAACCCCAGAGTCTAAGCTTGATGGAACCTATACTTGGATGCTGAGATCGACAGCCTGTCTGAAGTTATTATGCAAATCAAATAAACCTCAATAACTCAAAATGTTCTGAACCAATATTTGTAAAATTTAAACTCATCCATTTCCACCCTTAGTAAAATATTTAATTAAATTATCTGCAAATTTTAATGAATAGTTTTTGAGATATTTGGAATTTATGAAGATGGACTGACTGAAGTTTTGCAAATTAAACTAATATTAGCTTAAGACATCTGAAATCTAATAACTATTTTTCTTTTTGTCCATAATATATGTTGAAACATGGTTAAAGAGAAAGATCTAACATCTGCTGAAAAACAGAAAATAACAAAATCATTATGTGAGGGAATGTCCACATTGGAGATATCAAAGGAGTTTTGAAGGAATCATGGAGCAATAAAAAAGGCTGTTGAAAATATAAGTTGAGAACTTGAAGCAAAGGAAAAGGCTTCAAGAACTTTCTTCCTTGAGATGAACGTAAAGTGAGTTATAGTGAAACAACCATTTATGACAAGCACTGAGATCTTTGAAAAGGCTGCAATTGAGGGAGTCAAGAACGACAAAAAGTGTAGATTACTTTGTGAATTGGAATCTAAAAAAAATCTCCTTGGCAACCTTCTCTTACTAAAGCAAATATTTTAAAGCATCCAAATTTGGCCAAAAAATACATGAAAATTGACTTTTCTAAAGTAATTTTCATGGATGAATCTTGTGACATTTGATGAACCTGATGGCCAAAAGATGGATTTTATCTAATTCAGATATGCCTGTGGCTAAAAGAAGGCAACAAGGAGGTGGTAGTATTATGATATAGGCTGGAATTACCAGCCAAACCATTATCGAACCATGAAGGAGTTAAACTGAACTATTGCAATTTTATGAATTTTCTTTGCATAGTACAAGTTCAAGTCTCGCTGTTTTAAAGCGAAGTGTGTATTTATGCACAACAATGCTTCTTCTCATGTATCTAAGCTTCCCCATGAATTATTTGAGTATAAAAATTTACAGGAGAGAAAAATGGAATGGCCACTATCAAGTTCTGATCTGAAATCCGAAAATCTATGGTCAATTTTTTCTACAGAAACAATATAATGAAGGTGGCAAACATAACAGCAAAGAAGACATATGGGAAGCAATTAAAGCTACCATGTCAGAAATTGAACCTGCTGAAGTAAAAAAAATTCACAAAATTAATGGATAATAGATTCAGGCTGTTATTGAGAAGGGTCACTATATTAAAATGTAAAGGATTCAAAGATTTTATCAAATTTGTTATTTGTTCTATTATAGGTGTTGATCAAGTTTTGATGATTTTATTACCTTTTTATTGAAGTAAAATGTGATTATTTAACCTAATAAAGACGGCTGTTTTTAGAATACATCAAATAACTTCAATAAAACATACTAATATACCTAAAATTTTTTTACTCAGGCTTTGTTTTGACATCTAAATTGACTGTTTAAAATTTGACAATTTTTTTTCAAACCAAATTTGAATTATTGAAGTTTATATGATTTGCTTAATAACTTCAGACAGTCTGTATACTTAACATGTGGAGACGCCATCCAACTATATCATTGGACTCATCCCTGATATTTCTACAGTCTTATATGAATGCAGAATATGCTTTGCAGGACACTGCTGGAAAGCAAGACAAGAACTTGCAAATGATCTACTGCTCTGGACACCTAGCTATGGCACAAGATGAGTGAGTTGCCCAGCAACCTCCTACATTGACCAGCTTTGTTATGACCCAGAATGCCAACCTAATGACCTTCCAACCTTGATATGAGGACTGTGATAGCTGGCATGATAGACTCATGAATGGCCGAGTTAACTTGACCAAATAAAATAGTGGAATTTCTACTGATATTTTATTGTCATAGAATTCACCATGAGCTTATTCAATCAGTCAGTTATGTGCCATGCATGATACACGCTTAGGCAATCATGTATCTTTCGATACATGACTGACGAGGCAGATTTTTTTTTCCCGCAGTAGGTTGCCATTTTTTGATGCGTAGACCAGTTGCCATCCAAGGCTATAGAACCCAGTTTGTCCTGCTATTTACCCATAGCTGGGGGGAGAAAAAGAGGTTTCATACCTTTCCCAAGGGTATTAGCACATAAGTGAATGTAATGGATTTGGATGGAATTTGAACTTGGCTTTCTGATTCCTTAATTTGGGCCACTATCCATTACTCCACCATACCTCAATCATTAACTGAAAAATTGATTCATTGTAAAATTCAAATAGGAAATCTGTGAAATTTTTACATGTCTTTCTTGTTATTTTTAAGTATCTTTCATTTTAATTTGCTCCAAGGAAATGGCCAAAATCTGCAATCACCCAAGGGTTTATGCATTTCTTCATGTACCTGTCCAGTCAGCATCAGATGGTGTCCTCATGGACATGAAACGGGAATACTGTATTGATGATTTCCGACGTGTTGTTGACTTTTTAAAAGAGAGGTAAGTACATTATTTTGCCCCTGATTTTTTTTCTATTTTATTTTTTATAGATTTCATATTGATTGATGTGTGATTTTTTATTTACCAATTTCTGCTCGTCCTGGATAAGACAATAAACTACGTCCAACAGCAAGGCCTCTGATCTGGTTTTGAGGAGTATGGAACCACTTCTTAATTGATGGTGTTCCCAGGTCCTCTCTGACCCAAAGTGGTAACACCTGTTAGGGTCCCTGCTATGGGCAAATAGTTGACCCCCAAAATGGGGTCAAAACACTATGAAAGTGTAAAAATAGGTTTTAATACCAGCAATACATTTTTGTAAAAGGTTATTACCAGCAATGAATGTTTGAAGAAAAAAAATTATTACCAGAAATACATTTTTTAAAAAAAAATGTTACCAGTGATAAAAATCTTGTCGGCATCTTGTCCCATTGAGGTTGGTATGCCGTAAAACAAACCAAACCAATTTCTGCTTGAGAATAAATTTAAAAGTGAAGTTTGGCCTGAATAGTTAATCACTTAGTTTATTCACATTCAATAATCTCTCTCTTTTAAATATCTAATGGACTCCCTGGGAGACCACCAATTCAGAACTGAATCCCTAAATTCCCCCACAGATAATTAGAGTGGTGGTGAAAGCTTACATAGAACCAGCCATACTTTCCGGAAGAACTGATAATAAGGAAATAGTATAATGAAGTCTACAAATAGCATTATACACAGGCTTGGACTGAGAGTTTTCCTTCTCCTAGACTGGTTGCAAATCAAGTCTAGGTTGACCTACCTGTTCTGCTATTTATCTGGTTGTAGAGCAAATACATGGAAGAGAGGAGAATTTTTGGATTCTTTGGCTGATTTTTTTTTTTTCTCAACATTAGGTTTGTGATTGTCAACTAGCATGTATTTGATACCCACCACAGTGAGTTCAGTCAATATGTTGGCCATCCAGAATTTTATGTTTTTGGGTACATTCTAGTGGGTATTAAGCATATATCATCAACATGTTATAATTGATCAACCATACCTATATATATATATATATATATATATATATATATATATATATATATATATAGATGAATTCTGTGGACAAGACAGATTGGTATAAAAAATGAAAAAATCTTAGATTTTGCTGCATGTTTGTGTTTTCTTCACTTTTTCAAGGCAAAAATGAAAATGAAATGTTTTTGTTGTTATAAAAAATCCAAATTTAAAAAGATGCTTCTGTCTAAGTTTTTTTCTGGTTAATGTAAATTACCTTTATAGTAAGGGATTATTTTTTTTTATTTTTTTTTTCCATGTCGACAATAAAGTTAAATTCCCAGATGAATTCTGTGGACAAGACAGATTGGTATAAAAAAAAAATAATCCCTTACTATAAAGGTAATTTACATTAACCAGAAAAAAAATGCTTAGACAGAAGCATCTATCTTTTTGCATTTGGATTTTTTAATGTAACTATAACAACAAAAACATTTTGATTTCATTTTTGCCTTGAAAAAGTCGGAAGATGAAACAATTGGCAAAATCTAAGATTTTTTTCCAATTGTCATTTTATACCATATATATATATATATATATATGTGTGTGTGTGCATATGTGTATGTAGGTATATATGTATATATATATATATGTGTGTGTGTGTGTGTATATATATATATATATATATATATATATATATATATATATTTCAAGAATAGTATTACGGAAGAACACTGACAAAGTGGAAAAAGTTTTCATGTGATGCGTTTCATCCTTTAGGACTTCATCAGATTAAATTTGTTATATTGGGGCACAAATGATGGATGCTGGGAATTTTTATTTATATTTTTTTTTTATATTTTTTTTTTTTTTATTATATAATCTATCTGATTTCATTTAGATTCTTTTTCTTTTTGGTTCCATCACTTTTGTCGTTAGATATCCCAAACGATAATAAAGGATCTGCCAGAAATGGTGAAATGTTGCAAGATCCAGGGTGAAAATTTATTGTGGATGATCTTGCAATCAAGGCTCTCTCTAAACGTTTTTGTCATAGTGAATTGTTTTTTCGTTTGATCAAAGTAGCATTTTTTATGACAATGTTTATAGTCGTCTTCACAGCTGTAAACTATAAACACCATCAATGTTTGCCTGTGGACTCGGTTATCAATACCACCAGTGTTTGCCTGTGGACTCGGCTATCAATACCACCAGTGTTTGCCTGTGGACTCGGCTATCAACAGGAAAGTAAAGAATTACATAACCCAGCAATGGTTGATATGCCATAAAATCCCTGAACCCAACACAACACAATCAATCAGAGTTTATAGGAACAGCTTGCTATTTACTGCTCTTGTGCAGGCAACCTATTGATTTCAAATAGTATTTTATTCCCCACCCCATATGTCTATAAATGACTATATTTTCCTTGTTATTTGCTTTTTATGTTAAAATCAGTAGCTACTAGAAATATAAACGTTTTAAGATATACATGTTAACATCTTGGCATGCACACTGAATGCAAAATAATCTTACATTAATATTTGTCTTTAATTTTTGATTAATTTGGAAATTGATTTCTGTCTCTTGACTTCAACAAAGAATTGTGCAGCTCTCGGGTTTGGACATGGCTCAGCAGGTTTTGAATCTACTTTCATTAGTTTTGTGGCTAAGTTCTTGTAGAAAATTAAGGCAAGGCTGTATTGAGGTTGGTGGGAAACACTTAACAGGTAACAGATTGTTCCCTTAACAATTAAAAGGGAACAGGCAAAGACAGGAAGAAATAAAAATAAAATCTAAATAATGTTGAGGGAGGCCACTGCTGCAAAAATTATGTAACAACATTGGTGTGTAACTTCTGGAACAAAATGTGCCAAGGGAATGTCTTTACAAGTCACCAAATCTCCAATGATAGCAAAGCGATTCTTGCCAAAAGCTGACTGCTGGTTGCTGGTTTTGGCATGAAACAGTTAAGAAAGACCCAGATCTGGACAAGTTGCAGAGAGGCTCTTATCTGGATATTCCAAGCTGTGCTGCTGCTAACAGAGAAATTCGGATTGTCTTTGGCAGACATGTCACCATACAATTCAGGGCCTCTTTTACGTCTGTACTGATACAGGTTGATTCAGTTTCAAGCCACAGTTTGAACCGTAATTTAACAGTTTATAAAGTTAAAATGTCAAAACCTAACCATGGTTTGGAATCAAATCAAATGAACTCTAAATTTATCAACTTTCAATGTTTATTTTAGCTTCTTTTTTCTTTTTCCTCAATCAAGATAACTTTACTGATAAAGACCTAAAACTAAATTTCTATTGTATATCAACTAATAAAAATGACCTCATAAATTTCTATTCACACCAGAACAACAAAATAAAATCAGAAATAATTATCAAATTCTATTTAGGAGCACTCAGAATTTGTAATCCTCAATATTTATATGATGCGGAGAAATACATTGAAAATACTTTTAAGTGCCTCTAATAACCTAATTATTTTATATTCGGTGTGAAACAGAAGGTTCACCAAATATTTCAAAATAAAAGCACCATTCCAGCAAATTCAATCAATCGAGATATATTAGTCTACTACAACTGCAATTGAAAAGAATATATCTAAGCCTAACATATATTTATTACAACTACATCAAAAACAATTAGAAACTTAATACAAAACAAAATAATAATAATCTGAAACTAATGTTTGCTACAAAAAATACATGGAAGCAACCTCAAGGAATTTAAATAAAAGATTATTTGAACACAAAAGGAGTCTTTTACAAAACAACACACTCAGCGCATTAATCGCTCACCATAATGAGTTTGACCATAATTTTGATATAAAAGATGCTACTTTGATTCACCTTTAGCACTCTTTATTATTAATATTACTTCCCTATCCACTGCATTCTTTATCAATGTCTTTCAATTGCAGTATCCTTAGTTAATCTCACCCAATGTTGTTTTCTGTTGCCATAGAAGGATATGACAACACAACTATGAAATTCAAATACACTATTGTTCAGAGACCAGAGTCACCTTTAGTGGCAGGATAAACTTTTTGTACAGCAAATAAAGTCACATACAGAGTGATAAAGGTTAAAAGAAAAAAGCAATTTTCTATGGCAAGTGCTTTGTTTGCTTAGATCAGCCATGATAAATTTGCTTCTAGGTTATTATAACATTTCAACTTGCTACCAGATCTTATCACAATGTGAGATACTTAATAGTAAAAGTGATAAAAACAAAAGCATAAAGAAACTAAATTAAATCAGTTTGAATTCGAACCTGTATCCTATATCCTACATCCTACATTGAAGCCCTTTATATAAAAGGATTAAAGCCCAAAATAAATAAAGTCTACTACGAGTAGAGCAACAAAGTCTTTAAATGCTTATAAAAATAAAAAAGTTACTTACCTTCTACTGGAAAAAAAAAACACCCCAAGACCACATGAAATTTGAAAGCATAAGCAGTAAAAATGAACAGTTGAAATGTTTTGTAATTACAGAAGCACATATACATCACAGACAACATAATTCTCTGAGGACCTTCTCAGATGAGATTGAAAGTACTTGGGAAAATAAAAACTATTTGAAAGAAATTTTTGGTATTTTTCTTAATCAATTTTCTAAGTCTACCAAGAAATTAATTCAAATTAAATTCAATTCAAACTTGAAAGGATCAAAACAAAAACTAATCAACATGATATGTTTAAATTATTTAACCAAACCTGTTTGAATAAATATATATATATTTATATATATAAAATGTTTGTGTGGTGCACAAGGATGACCTACCACAGCCACATCCATTTAACCCTGTGAAGACTCTGGAGGACATTTGTCATCTATCCTAAAAGGCCTTGCAAAATGGCCACTGAAGTCATTCGAGAGGAAACAATGATCTAGATTGAATGTAGGTATTGATGGGTAAGATGGCATTCATCTGTGAAAATGGGGCAATCAACACACACACACACACACACATATATATATATATATATATATATATATATATATATATAAAGTACAGACATTGACCTTCCTCCCCCTTGTTTAATGTTTTCTATATATTTATATATACTTTTAGAAAGGCCATTTTTAAAGCTGTAATGAAATCTTTCACCTCCCACAGGATATTTATATATTTTATATATATTTTATATTGTAGAGTGCCTGGGATTACTATAGCAACTGATGTGATTTGTGGCTTCCCCACAGAAACTGAGGAGGTAAGAAAGCTGTCATTGCTGTCCATATTTTCACTTATGAAATACAAAAAATATCAGCTGTTTATGTAACTTAGGATATCATGGGTAAGATTTAAAATTTATATCCACTCTAATGATTACAAATATAACTCAGTAAATACGAAATGTATATATAGAAAAACATAAAAAATGATGTTACTAAAGAAATACATTGCAAATTATTTTAATACTTTTTATGTAACAAAGTGATATTATGGGTAAGATTTTTTTTTTTAAACAAATCCATGTAAACTTAATACATGTTAAAATCAATATATCTTAAATCTTAAATACATGTAAACTTATTCAGTTTAACTATTGCCCATGAGAGAATTAATTTTAATTTTTTTTTTTTTTTTTTAAATTTCTTTTTATATGTTTTTTTTTTTCTTGATGAGGCTGTACCATAAATATAACACCTCATGGTAAAAATATCCTTATATATTTACATTCAACTTCTCTCCCTCTCTTTCTCACACACATACACACGCACACATTATTTATATTTTTTCCTTTCATTAGGATTTTGATGAAACTATGAAGCTTGTTGAGGAATACAAATTCCCCAGTTTGTTTATCAACCAATATTTCCCACGACCGGGGACACCTGCTGCAAAGCTTCCGCGGATAGATCCGCAAGAGGTAAATTGAAGGCAGATTGTTAATGTGCCTGTAAAAATCTTTGAGGGAAAGTTAAAAATAGAAATTAAAAAGTGATTTTAGTTCTTTATTTTGTCAATTTTTTTTTTTTAACCCATATTCGGGTTCGGATGTGTATGTAGGTCGCGTAATAGATATTGACACCAAAAGTATAATTGACGAGTGGAGTTCAAATTCTGGACTAGTCTGTTGCATTCATTTTTACACTATACCCTTGGGGAAAGACATGAATCTATCTCTTCTCTCCACCAGCTACAGGTTAAATGACACAGTGTTCATTAGCCTTGGGTGGTAACCAGTCTAAGAGAAGGAAAACTCTGAATTCTAAATTATGGAGAAGGCCCTATCCTTCCCAAGAACATAATTCTCAGATAATAGAGAAAGTCTGTGAATAGTCATGATCACAGCTATGTCTTGAAGGGGTGTGGCATTAAAAAAAAAAGGTTGTGGTCAAATAAGATGTGCATAGTGGTTTTCAGTGCAGAAATTGGGATTGGCATTTTGAGGTCAAATTCCAGCCAAAGAATATAGAAAAAGAAACTGTGGCGACTCATGATTATCCACATCCTGAAAGGTCATGGCATTTTATTATTGCTAATTAAGTGAACATTAGTAAAGAAAAAAATAGTCTGCTCTCTTTGGGAAGAGAGAAAGGAAAAAGTTTGAAGTATATATCAACATTTTTTTTTTTTAAATTATAAAATAATCATGATAATTCAAATAAACAGAGAAAATTATCTGACAAAAAAAGAAAGAAAAAAGAAGAAAAGAAAAGAAAAAAGAAACATGTCATACCAATTTTTTTTTCTTAAAAAAAAAATGATTTAATCATATCAGCACTTGTATTTGGTACTCAAGAGTAAAAAGTAGAAAAGGCTTCAATAGTTTCCCAGAGTTTTATTTTCTGATTCTTCCCAAAACTCAGACTTATCGAACTCTCTACCTTTGGATGGAGATGAACTCAGATGAGGCTGAGTCTCATCTGGGGAGGTAGACAGCCACCTGACCGAGTATATGTGGAGTCTATGGAGAAATTTTGCCCAAGCATATGTGCTTGGAAAGTCCTACATTAAAAGCCTGCCTTTGTGGGTAGGTCTTGAGTAAATAACAAGTTTTATTTTTGGGGTTATTAACCTTGGCTGGTAATTGCTTAAAAGAAATGATAGCATAAAATCAATTATTATTACTAAAATATCAATAAAGATATTAATGGGTTGCACCTTAACAGTTATCCATGGTCGATTTAACACCATTAAAAACCATTGTGGTTTGCCTGTGTGAGTTGGCTTATGACCATATCACATTGAAACACCAGTTCTTGTATGATCACCAAAGTTAAGCAATGTCAAGCTTGGTCAGTACCAATATCCTTAATTTAACCATGCCTTTTATTAATTGTTCTCTTATCCTTTAATTCAGCCTGTGAATATGTGAGAGGCAAAGTGTTTCATTACTGAAAATTATCAAGAATTATAAAAAAAAAAATTCCAGCCACCTCTTTTATTCCAGCTGTCCCATCTATTTGAAACTAAAGTGTATATTTATATTTTGTGATTTGATTGATTTGTTTTCATGGCTTATTAACCTTTTGCAGGTTATTTAAAGCTAGAAAATATTTTTAGATTGTAAGATTTATTTTTGGTGTGTGGGGAGATAATAATGATTACTACTAATTAACCCCTAGCTGGAGGGAGAAGAGGTGGATTCAAAACTTTCATAAGGTTATTTGTTTGTAAGTGAATATGACAAGCCCAACTAGGGCACCTCGAGGTGGTGTAATGGTTAGCAAGCTTGTCTTGCTAGAACAATTATGACTGAGCGGTGAGTTCGATTCTCACTGGGTGCTCCTTACTTTCGGCCTTGTGCCACATCCAAGCTACGCTTGGAAAATCACTATAACAAACCCAACTAGAATTGGAGCTTGGTTCGCCAATTTACAATTTTGAGCCATTATCCATTATACCACCAACAACACTTGGTATTCCTAAGCAGTCACCCATCTAAGTACTGACTAGGCTTGATGTTGGTTTTTAGTGATTGTACGAGAACTTATATTTTGTGTATGTGTCTGTATTATTAAATCCATTCTATCAGATGCCATCTCCTTCAGATCCCTGTAGATTCTTTCATTCTGTATTGTGATGGGTAATTGTTATGGTCCGGTTCCTTGTACCATGGTTATAGTCCAAGGTAGAACCAATAAAGAAGAACTCGAGTACGGATATGGAATAACACAGATATATTACAAACAGGAATATATACAGAGAAGTAGAAAGTGTTAGTACGAACAATCAAGTTTAGTAGTAATTGTCTGAACGCGACTCTCTTTCGGACTGCCTCTGACTGACTTGCTCGCTCTGAATGACAGACTTCTGACGGACTTCTGACTCCAGACTTCAGACTGAACTCCCTGCTTCCTCTTGAGGTGCAGTATTTATTACGTATGGAATAGTTCATTATGTTATTATGGGTAAGGTCCCATAACAGTAATCAAAAATTTAGGAACAGAAAACAAAGTATAAAACTAAATATTCACAGAGAATAAATATGGTAGAATTTATGAGTATCAACTGGAAATTGATTGGCAAAAAATTACCAGCATGTAATGCACCACTTTCAATGTATGACTCTTGTATTGGCCATTATGCTGTACATTATTAGTTTACCATTTTGTAATTCCTTTTTCAGGTCAAGAAACGAACAAAGGCGATCTCTGCTCTTTTTCAGTCCTACCAACCCTATGGCCATGAGGTGAGATTTTTTTGCTCCTTATTTCTGTTAATGTTTTGCATTTGACATTTTCATTAAGCTCCTAAAAGAAATATTTTGTTTCCCCAAATAAAAGTGCTGTCATGAATTACAGTAGCTCCTCTATTATCCAGAAACCTCAGGTCAGGTTGAAAAAATATGTCCAGATAATTCAAAATGCTGGATAATTTAATGCTTAAATTATCAAAAATGGAATGAAGCAAATAGTAATTTTTCAAATGAAAATTTAAGATTTATATCATCAAATAACATTTTCAGACACTGTTCAATGTTTTTTTGTCGGGTTTTATTTCTTATGAAAAAAATGTGTCAATTTTTGTCACTTTCATATATCATCACCATTTAGTGGTTTTCTAAAAGAAAAATAAATCAATTCAAATATTCTACAAGTAGAAATATATTTCCCATCTACGGTCTGTTCAGGTGTAATCACAATTTCTGGACCCCCTGCTAAAATTCATCAACCTTATAGAAGACCAAAGAAAGAAAAACATTAAGAATTCCATTTCATCAGTTCATTGAAACAATGTTTTTGTAAAAAAATTCTTTAAAAGTTAGGAAGAAATCTATACAGAATTACATTACTTCAACGATGATCAGGGACGCCTTGGGACAGGGATTAAAAAAATCTATTCAGATAATTCAAAATTCAGAATAACTAAATGCCTAAATTATGTGAAAAAGAATGAAGAAAAATATCATTTTCTGAAACATTGAACATTTATATCATCAAATAACACTTTCAGACACTCTGTTCAATGTTTTTTGTTGAGTTTTATTTCTTATGAAAAAATGTGTCAATTTTTGTCACTTTCATATCATACGATTGCCATTTAATGGTTTTTAGAAAGGAAAAATAAACTAATTCAAATATTTTACAAATAGAAATATTTTTTTTTTGTAATAAATTCTTGAAAAATTAGAAAGAAATCCATGTAGAATTACATTACTTCCTTGATGATCTGGGACACCTTCGGATAGGGATTAAAAAAAGATAATTCAAAATTCAGAATAACTGAATACCTAAATTATTTGAAAAAGAATGAAGAAAAATATCTTTTTCTGAAACAGTGAACATTTATATCTCGAAATAACATTTTCAGACACTTTGTTCAAAGTTTTTTGTCCAGTTTATTTTTCTGAAAAATCCATCAACTCTTGTCTGTTTTTGGTTGGTTTTGCATTTTTCTGTCACTAACTCCCAAAGTATTTGTATTCTACATTGATTTTTTGAATATATTTAGCAGATCATTATTATTATTATTATAGAAAGTTTCTTTGTTATTTCGTATTTAAAATCTTGGTGTGAATTAGGCAAGCAAGAAAAGAGTTTTTTTTTCTTAATTTTAGGCTATCATTCCTTTTAAGCAATTACCAATTAAGGTTAATAACCCAGAAAATAAAACTTGTTATTTACCTGAGACCTCCCCACAAGGTGGGATGTGGCACAAGGCCAGATTTTAATGTAGGATTTTCCAAGCACATATGTTTTGGCAAAAATTCACCATAGACCCAGCATACACTGGGTCGGGTGGCTGTCTACCTCCCCAAATGAGACTGTGCCTGTCACTTGCTTCCCTGATAGCTATAATCTTCAAATATTCAAATGCAATGTCAATCGACATTTTCTGATGCCTTGACCTTGATCCCTGTCCTTTTCTTTATCTTTTTCCCAAATACTCCTCTTTATTCTTACTCTCACTCTCTGTAACCCTTTGCCAGCTAATGGCACTCCCATCTTGCTTGGGGAGATTTGCTTAAAAAAAAAATGCATAGCCTCATCTGAGTTCCTCTCCCCCACAAGGCAGAGGGTTCGATAAATCTGAGTTTTGGTAGATTAAGACAATAAAACTCTGGGAAACTATTTAAGCTTTTTCAACTCTTTTTTTACTCTTGAGTACCAAATACAAGTGCTGATATGATTAAATTATTTTTTTTAAGAAAAAAAATTGGTATGACATGTTTCTTTTTCCTCTTTCTCTCTTTCAAGATAATTCTCTCAATTTATTTGAATTACCATGATTATTTTAGAATTTAAAAAAAATTCCCACCACCATTTCTATTCCAGATGGAACTTGTATATGGTACAAAAAAATATACTGTATGTTGATATATACTTCAAACTTTTTCCTTTCTCTCTTAACACTCCTGTAGTAGTGAAAGTGCAGGCTATTTTTTTCTTTACTAATGTTCACCTAATACAAGGCCCAAGAGCCACATAAGTTAGAGGGTTACTGTGTTGTATGAGCATAAGAAAAGTCAAGAAATGCATTTCATGAGGTTATGTAGGATAGATAACGGTTAACCTTCAACTTAGATCAAAAATTGTAGCAATCAAGAAAAACAACCTGCTGGGAGTGTATTCCGCAAAGCACAAAGTGAAACTTCCTCCTTACTAATGGAATATGAAAGGAATGAGGATGATTCATCCTCATGTACATGACATGGCGGGTCTTAATTGCAAAGGCCAGGGCTAGTGAAATCAAGGAATGTAGCTTCAGAACACATGCCATGTGTTGTAACCTAGGAAAGGTTACTGAATGGAATAATTAAACAAAGGTTGGTAATAAATGATAATACTTAGGACAAGAACAACACATAAAACTCGCCAATGGCACGTAGAAGAAGTAGTCAATTGCTAGAAGTGAGTCAAGTGAATTCCACAATGAATCTCCAACTGCAGACCAATATACAGTATTTACTACTGTATTTATGTGAATGAAGACATACCCATTATCATTGATAGGTATGCTACATCACCATGGAAATAGCAATAGAGTTATGAGAGGCTTGCAGCATTTTGTCTGTGAGAAAGGGGTTGTAAGTTGGGAAATAATTCATCACCCACAAGGCCATATAGACACTTTTGAACTCAACAAAGGAAATGAGGATTGGGAAATTGCAGCCGAGATATGGCAACAATACTCCATTTTTAGTCTGACCTGATTTTTGTAAAGCTAGAGCATACCAAAGGGAGTCAGATACTTACTGGAGCAGTACAAGGAACCAACCATTTTTGCAGCATCTTTAGCCAATAGATCAGATATACGAGTTCCACTTGAGGTTCAGGGGAGAGATTGAGTTTCAAAAGACATTCAAGACAAGGATCTCATTGACAGAAGACCAATTCACCATGAGGGGTGAAAGTTCAGCATCTGCTCAGTGGTGGTGGAATAGTTTTTTTTTTTTTTTTTTTTTTTGCTGCATTGAATTTTACAAGCCAGTTCTTCTCTGATTGAGCCACCTGGGCAGGGTTAAAGGAAAGATGAGCTGCTAGCTTCTGTTCTTCCAGATTTTTGGAGGTGTGTCTATAAACTGTTGTATCATCAGCATAGATACTCACTAAGGATTGGAGTATGCTCATTGGCACATCATTAATATACATCAGAAAGTTGGTAGAACCAAGGAGAGAACACTGAGGAATACCAGCATTCCAATGACTGGCTGTTAAAAACAACCTTCAAGGAGCTACCTGTCAGGAAGGACTTGATATTGAGAAAGCCCTTCCAGAGAGTCCCATAGCTGGAGGGTTTATGTAGCCACACCTTGTCAAAGGCCTTTGATATATCCCCTATAGTATTAATTCTTACAGCCAATACAGAAATTAGAATTTGGCCCTCAGTGATGTTTGTTTTGTAATCGCCAATATTTTTTGAATGGGTTGTTTATCCGACATTACCATACATACTCAAATACAAATGTACGTGTCATGGCGGGTCCCAGTGTCCCATTTGTCAAGGTCAGGGATGGTAGGACTAATGAATGTAGCTCGTCAGAACACGTCATAGAAATAGCAATAGGGCAGCGAGAGGCTTGTGACATTTTGTCTGTTGGGAAAAGGGTTGTAGGGTGGGAAATAATTCATTACCCACAAGTTCATACCAATGCTTTTGAACTCTATCAAGACTGGCAAGTGATGATTGGGCAGCTCCAGCCCAGATATGGTAACAATCCTCTAATTTTGTTCATCTTGTAAAGATAGAGTTATAGCCAGAGTCATTATATACTTACTGGAGAGGTACAAGGAACCAACCATTTTTCCAGCATCTTTAGCCAATAGATCAGATATATGAGTTCCACTTGAGGTTCAGGGGAGAGTTTGAGTCTCAATAGACATTCAAGACGAGGATCCTATTGAGAGAATGCCCATCCATCATGAGGGGTGAAAGCTCAGGGTGGAATGTTACCATTTTGGTTTTGAATGTATTGAGCTTTTCCCCCATTGAGCCACCTTGGTGGGGTCAGAGGAGAGATAAGCTGCTAAGTTCTGGTCAATCATATTTTTGGAGGTGCACCTATAAACTGTTGTATCATCCACATAGATATTCACTAAGATCAAAGTATGTTCTTAGGCAAAAAAAATTATCATCCCTGGGTGGGCTTGAACCACCAACCTTTTGGTTAACTCCCAAATGCACTAACCAAATGTGCCACAGAGACAAAAGCAACCTTTTTATTTACTTGTAAATATGCAAGAGAAATACATATTTTTAAACTAATTTAACAGATCATAATAATTATAGAAAAGCTCTTCGTTTTTTTGTATTTAAGATCTTGTGGTGAATTAGGTAAGAAAGAAAAGTGTGTGTGTGTGTTTTTTTTGTCTTAATATAAATATTGAACATTAATATGGTATAAAGTAACTTTAACCTTTCTGCTTAAAAGATTAGATGTCCTACAAAAGCTAAAGAGATTAAAATTCCCTGCTTCTTTTATAAGTTTAAAAATTCACACCAGCATGACTATTCCAGACCCCACTTGTATTTGGTACCAAAGATTAGCTAAACAACAATTTTTAAATTCTGCACTTATACAACCATATTAATGGTTTATAAGATTCACATTTTTTTTTGTACTTAAAAGATCACAAAAATATATCTTCCTGGTTTTTATATGCAAAGTTAAAGATATTTGGTATGTTAATAGTGTTTTTGTGTCTCGGCATGTGGTAATGGCTAACAAGGCTGGTCTGGTTAATCATTACCACTTGCCATACTATATTTTACATTAAATAACCCAGCAACGTGTCATAAAATTAACCTAAATGTATTTTTCCCCAATATTAGTTAATAATATTGTGTTAAATTGCAGGACAGACCAGATGCTATAGTCTTGGTTGGCAACCAGTCTACTACAGAAAGAAATGTTAACTTACTGTGGGAATTCTTCTGCCAAGTTAATCATGAATCAAAAAGGGTTCATCAAGCATGGCAAATAAGAAAAGAATTAAAGATGGGTGTGGATATATTAGAGGCTGCTGAAATGTTCTCAACCTGACCAACATTCCAAAATCTGACCAAATGTATATAACATTTATTTTTTTTTTACTTTTGAGAGCTACTTGGTCAGACTTAGAATTTTTCAGTATCCTCTCCTATCAGCCTTTAAAAAAGATAATTTTGAAATAAAACTTTTTTTTTTTATTATTTTCCAGGTTGGTCAGGTTCAAACCGTCCTCGTAACAGAGATCTCACATGACAAGAATTACTATGTTGGACATAACAAATACTATGATCAGGTTGGATGACATCTTTTTCTTTGGAAAAAAAAAAAAAGAAGTGTCAATATATAAAAAATAAGTTCATGATTCTTTTAAAAATCGTGGTGTTTAATGATTTGTATTAAGCTTTTCCATTTATCATTAGTAAATATAGTTTTCACAATATCATCTAAAAGGCAGAAATTAATATAGAATTTTAAGATTTAAAACTTTATAAATTATTATAATTAAAATTAAAAAAAAATTAAAAACAATTCTAAAAATCTACTATTCAACCAAAAAAAACAATAAATTTTGAGATTGAAATTTAATTTCGTGACATTTCATAAATTAAGTGGCATGGGGGTGTAACATCTGTAAAAATAAATATATTTTTTAGCAAGATTTTCTAAAAAAAAAAAAAAAAAAAATTAAATAATTTCATTTTGTAAATAAGTTCTGAAAGTTTAATTAAAATCCAACAATTATTTGATTTTTGGAAGTATTTCCAAATCAATGTTTTTTTCACCGGGGGAAAAATACAAAAACACTGATCATAAATATTATGTCAACTGCTAACACAAAAAAAATAAGATTTTTAACCAAAATTTCAAACATGCTAGAAAGGATTAAAAAATTTAATAAAAAGATACTTTGGTCTTTCCTCTTAATAATAACATAAATATTTTGACGATAAAACTTTTTTTTTTTTATTAAATTTGGGGCCTTTTTTCAACATGCTATGCTGTTTTTTCAGCGACAAGTGGAGGTACCTAAATATATGTATCATGGATACAGTCTGCAACATTGCTACATTATAACATAATATAAATATATATTTTGTGGATATATTTTCATATACAATTTTCTGACATACAGATAATTTTATCTCTGCCAGTGTTTGAACCCATAATTGGCCACAGTTCTATTTTAGGGACAGTCGGCATTAATAGGCATTTATAAAAAATTTCAATATTTGAAAAGTGAATTATAATAATTTTGATTCTGGTCTCTTAATAATATTGAGCCGGACTGTATCTCAGACATAAAATAAATTTAAAGAAGTTTTTATATATATATATATATATATATATATATTTCGGTTGAGCTCTCTGGGGAGGGAATGTGAGTTTGTAAACAGTGACTATTACAGCTAATAATGCAAGACTCTTCATTGAATCGAGTCCTCTCAGTCACCGTATCTAAAAAATAAATGTGCTTAAATTCACCTTTATCCCTTACGTGCACTAATAGCTTAGTGGTAGAATCGCCGACTGGTGCCAATTTAGTTGGGTTTCAATCCTAGCTAGAGGCAACTGGACATCTAGCCACATTCATGAGCTATGATACAGTTTAAACAGTCTGCCTGCAGATGACTATATATATATATATATATATATATATATATATATATATATATATATATATATATATATATATATAATATCTGTGCAACCTTTCTTTCAGACATGTTTTCTTGAATATGAGACAAGGAAAAATTGATTACTTTTTTATTGAGTTTTTCTAGTGTTCTTAAATATTTCTGTTTGGTGGGCAGTGTCATGAATTTTTTTGTAAGAATATTTTTTTTTATTTATCAATGACGTTGGGGAAAATTATTGTTGACTAATGTTTGTTTTATATATTTGAGTTCACTCAGAAATTGTCTCTGGGAAGAATAATTTAGGTATGCTCTATTTATGATTACTATTTTATATCTTTATGGGCATTGATTATCATAGTGTAAAAGACAAGAGTTTTATATATATATATATATATATATATATATATATATATATATATATATGGACTTCTCCGTTGTATTCGATGTATGAGGGTCAAGCAGCTCAGTTCTTAGGAAGTGACAGCCCAGACACCAGCACATATGATTTGATTATAGTGGTGAAGGCTTTGTGCAGAACCAACCACACTTCCTGAAGGGCCGAATACAGAGAACTGGTGCACTACTTGCTACAAGGTCCCCAAATGCTCCTCCACAGGTTTTAAATTCAGAGTTGTCCTCCTTCTAGACCAGTTGTTATCCAAGGTTATAGAACCCAGTCTGTCCTGCTATTCACCCATAGCTGGAGGGAGAGGAAGAGGATTCATACCTTTCCCAAGGGAATTATCATGTAAATGAATGTAATGGATTATTTGACTGGAATTCAAACTCGGCTCTCCTCCAATTCTTCAATCCGAGCTGCTATCCACTACTCCACTATGCGTCCATATATATATATATATATATATATGTGAGATTTCAAAAACAAACAAAAATCCATAAATGTAGTTAAAATGAAAAATTTATTAAAACCGTCAAACGTTTCGGTTTTAATAAACCATTTTCTTTCAAAATTTTAAATACATTTATGGATTTTTGTTTGTTTTTCAAAATAAAACACATTCTGTCGGATTTTATCCATTTACACTTGCTTATATACTGTCTATTTGAAAAACACAAACCTAAATTCGTTTTTTACAACATGGAAGATTGCAGGCTTATCCGGAAATACAGGAATTTTAAAATAATCACGAACTTTTAGGAATATTTTGAAATTCCTGCCGCCCGGATGTGACTGCAATCTTCCATGACCAAAAAACGGAAAGCTGAGGTTTTTAAAAATTGTCAGTTATCTGTTTTAAGCTTTGGATAAGACTTGTGTTTTTATGTCCATCGAATTTCGAAATATTGAACTGAATTTGTATTTTAATGAATTTTGTCTTGAAAAATGGTTTATTGTTCAAACGTCTGACGTCGATACAATTTTTTCATTTTAACTACATTTATGGATTTTTGTTTGTTTTTCAAAATTTCTACATTCTGTCGGATTTATATCCATTTATTACATTTACACTTGCTAATATATATATATATATATATATATATATATATAGTTTAAAATTTGGTATATTTTGTAGGCTAAGAATAAGTTTGAGATAGTGTTTGTAATTAAAGACATTGTTGAAGATGCTTGATTCATAAAACTGAAAAACTGAGAGTCACAGAAAGTGATTATCTCCCTTTGTTGGAGATAAGTCACATGACGGCTGCTTGGTGACATCACTTTATACAGTAATAAGGGTGGCCAGTCAGTTTGTTTACAGTATCCTAACTGAGCAGTTGCTTTTTTTTACTCTGGGTCAAGGAGCCGAGACTGAAGTTAAAATCTGTCTCCTCCAGCAAATGCTACAGCTTTATAAGCACATGGCACCATTACCCTTTAGCAATATATCTCTCCTAGATATAGAAGGAAACTCTATGTCACAGTACTCAACTTGGGAAAACTCGAGACTCGCCATTTCCCCCTTTGTGGAATATGTCCTAGTAGATGAATCCGGCCCATTTAAATCTAGAGTCCTGAACATAACTTCTCCAGAACAGAATTTTCATATTATATGTAAGATCCTACCTTTTTTGTTTCTCCTTACACTCTGCTTTGCCATGTAGATGTATGTAATATATTGTTCTCTGCATGGGATAAGTGTATATATGTATGTATATAGTTTTGTATATGTCTTAGTAGTATAAAAATCTCTCTGAGAACAAAGCATGTTTGTCATTGCTTTTCCTATCAGCTATTCTGTTCTGCCCATGAAATACAGTGCTATTTTATCATGGAATTAATAATGCCCATAATGGGGGAAATTTAAATGTGAGACTAAATCTTTCTTCCATAGCTCTCTCCCGTTACATATGTATGAGAGAGATAAAGACAGTACCCCTAAAAGTAAGCATTACCAATTTAAATTATCATATTTTATGTCTGTCAATCAGATTTTGTAACACAAATAGAAATACCAGCTTTGACATGTTTATCGAGAGTTTATAACATTTCAGCCATTTCTACCTCGTATGCCTAGATTTTATAAGTTATTTCTTTCTTTTCTTGTGGTCTTTCAGGTGTTGGTCCCTAAGGACGAGAACCTCATGGGAAAATGTGTTGATGTTGAGATCACATCTGCAGGCAAGCATTACTTGAAATGCCGCCTCCTTGGTATGACTGGTGTCCACAGACCAGCAGTTCCTTTACCCCAGCCTAAGGGTCAGGTGTCAGGAGCAATACCTATGAAAGAGGTAACACACAAATTTGAAAAATGTTTAATTTACCTCAGGGAATTTAAAACCAAACACTTTATTCAATTTTCTGGGGTCGATTGTTCTTGTTTCACTGTTTATATTTAGAGATATCTTGTTCTTATAAATTAATGCTCAATTATTGCTTGCCCTAAGTCTGTACTACTAACAATTATTATGTTACTAAATCCTTGAACCAAGACTTAGTACCGTCCTGGGTTTGATGATAAACTACATCCAACAGCCAGGCCTCTGATCAGGAGACTTTGAGGAGCGTGGAACCACCTCTTAATTGCGGGGTTACTAGGTCAACCCTAACTTAGGGTGGTAGCAGCTGTTAGGGTCCCAGCTATGGGCAAATAGTTAACCCCCAAACTGAGGTAAAAAGCATTATAAAAGTGTAAAAATAGGTTTTAATACCAGAAAAAAAGAGAAGTTTTTTAAGAAAAAAAGATACTGCCAGCAGTATGTTTTTGAGAGAAGACTATCACCAGCAATACGTTTTTGAGAAAAATATTACCAGCTATACATTTTTGAGGAAAAAATATTAACAGAAATAGATTTTTGACAAAACAAAAATATTACCAGGAAAAAAAAAAGTTGCTGGCATTAAATGACCCATTGAGATTGATATGCCGTAAAACAAACCAAACCAAACCAAGACTTAGTAAATAAGAAAATGAGCACAAACATGGATCTTCATGCTCACAAAAAACCAGCATGTCAAAAGGATAGTTTTTCCTATAGCACCACTTTTATTTTAACTACCTTCACTCCTCAGCAATATTTATTGTTTTAAAAAGCGATAATTAGAATTGTAATACAATCTAATTATATTTTTTACTGGACACTTTAAACTTTTTGCATCTGACTTATCAAAATGCATAACCTAACTAACACCATTCACCTTTCTACGACTATTATTTTTTAAAATGTCAGTAACTTGATTAAGAAAAGGAAACACAAACAATTATGATTATGAATTATTATGTCATATGAACACCAAAGTTAAGCATCATCCAGCCAGGACAGTACCTAGATGAGTGACTGCTTGGGTATACCGGGTGCTGTAAGCTTTTATATGCGGCTAATGTAATGGATAATGGCTTGGAATTGTTAATTAGAAAGCCAAGTTCCAATTTCCATTGTTATATTCACTTACATGCAAATACCCTTGGGAAAGATATGAATCATCTTTTTCTCCCCTTGGCTATGGGTTAATTAGCAAGATTTGTATCACTAAACCATTATTATCTCCAAAAATATTCTTACAATGTAAAAAATATTCCCTTGCTTTAAATAACATGCAAGTGTTGCTAAGCCATTGAAAATGAATGAATCATAACTTTGATGCTTGGTTTATAAATCTAGGACATTGACCTGTTTTTGGTTTGACTTGGACTATAATTCTCTAGCAAGTTTTTTTTCTTTTTATGCAAAATTCTGTGCATCAAAGCAACACCAATTTTTGTGCAAAGCAAAACACAAAAATTTAATTCACACTTAAATGGATTGTAAAATTAACAGGCTAACCAAAATCCATCCTTGAGGAACATTTGTTAATGCTTTAGATTTGTCTTCTTTTGTTTTCTCTTTTAATTATTTCCTTATTGTATCTGATCATTTTTATCTTCATTTTATTTATCTACCTATTTTTCAGGTTGTCATGGAGTCTGCATCAACATCGCAAAGGGAGAGAATTCTTGTAACGTCAGCCATTTTGCTCTTAATTGTGGCCATCTTAATTCGGTCGTTTTATGCCGAGAACTTGATAAGATTTTGAGGAAGCGAAAATGTGATAGACACATTCAAGGGACTTAAAAATAAAATGTACGTTTTATTTTTTATGTACATCATCTTTTTTTCTCTTTTAATAAATAATTATAAAAAAAATGTACTTTCCAAAAAATATTATTTTTTATCAATTTCAGAGGCGTTAACAAATATCAAAGTAGCTCTTGCTAGCTAGACCAATTAATACCCACAAGAAAATTGATATTTTAGGCAATCAAAGGGACTACTTAAATTGATTGGTCCTTTTCTTAAAAAATAGAAGAATTTTTTTTTTAAATAATGATGTTCTTTTTCTCAATTCGTAATAGTAGGCAGCTATCAATGTTGCAAGCAGAGTTTCAAACTCAAAATTTGTAAATTAGAACAAAGTATGGATAACTGTTTAAGAAATCAGGCCATTGACACTATTTATATTATGAACAGGATGCCCTTTCTAAATGATAAAAAAATTAATATTTTTTTAATATTTTTTGATTTAGTGAAATGTTGTGACTTGAAGACAGTTTAATGAATATTAATCTTCAGAAAGTATTTCCGAAACAAAACTTTCTTTGGTGGGGACCAGTCAATTTAAGTTGTTCAAATCCAGTTTTACAGATTTATAAATAGCTATCTGAATTTCTGGAATGAGTTATCATTATTTTTACTATTTACATGCAGACTATTATCCTCAACCTTGTTGTTGTTGTTATCACAATGTTTCACCCATTGTGCCCTTTGACCTTCATCAGGTGTGTCAATTCGGATAACCTACAGGGAATTCTGAAACGAATCCTTTATTTAACCTATGGAGGTAGATTGTTCTCGTTCCAGTGTCTGTTGTCAAATTATTTTTAGTACTGTTCAGTTATTGCTTGCCCCATTTCCACTGAGTCCAAGTACACACTGCCAAACCTAGGGATTGAACTCACAATTATTATGTCTTTTATTTATTTTTATTTTTTAAACATTTCACTCCAAGCAAGGCCACAAAGCCACTAAGATGCAAAGAGTTACAGAGTGTTAGAGAATATGAGAAAAATGTACTATTAAGGGGAGACAATAAAAGAACAAGAATTAAGAATACTGAAGATAACAAGTGACATTGCATTTAAATTTTTGGAGATCAAAGTTCACTTGGAAGCAAGAAGCCGGAAGAGAGTTCCACAAGCAATAAGTGCAATAGAAGAAACTGTTAGCATAGAACTTACAGTTACATCTAACCATTTCAACTTTAAAATGAGACCTTGGCACTAATCTGATATTGCACTTAAATTCATAAAGTTGGGGTACCATAGAGGGAAGTTAATCAGAACAATCACCATGGAATTATTTATAGAAAAGGCATAGGGAGGTTTTGTTATGGCAATGGGAAAATAACTGAAGCCAAGATGCCAGGTCAGGACCAGTAACATTGCAGCTTCTTCTTAGAATCAACTCTTTAATCCACTAGGATATTGTTTCAAACTAGATCAGATATCGTAGATGAAATATCACTAGACATATGAAGTAAAATGAGAACAGTCTACCCCCGTAGATTAAATAAAGGGTTTTTTTTTTTTTTTAGAATTCCCTGAAGTTTACACATATCGATATACACCTGATGAAGGCTGAATGGCACAATGGCAGAAATGTTGTTATATCAACAACAAAGAATAGGGCAATAGTCCATGTGTAAATATAGAAATCTAGTATTATAGACTTCTACCTATAACTCATTTTTGCCCATGGTGTGCATTAATAGGTTTGTAGTCATGACTAATACAAGAAAATTCAAGAAAGTTTCATTGCTAAGAATAGACAAAAATCCTGAACAAATAAAAGCACTAGACTATAAAGTCATATTTCTCTGAGACAATCATAAACAACATGTGCTTCCAACAAAGATATGACATCACTGTCACTCGAGCCAATCAGAAGCCAAGTGGCAATTTCCAAACAGATCTTTGTTCAACAAGATACCTATATGAGGAGCTAGATAGCCCGATTTCTACAAAGATGATTTTTATCAGTTCTCCATTGCCAGCTGTCATCATAAAACACCACATGGTCAAATTACACGCACTAATGCATAGATACACATATGTAATTCATGTCATTTGTTTCAACTTGCCTGCAATAGTTTTCCGATGATTGCTAACCTATGCATTTACACATACACACTTTAATTCTTTCTCCTATGTACCATGACCTTCATCATTGAACACTGTAGAATTTGAAACTAACCAATCGGTAAATAGATTCACCTTTGTAAAATTTGTGTTTTTCTACAGAAACACACCTCTTTAAGAAATAATCACTTTTTTTTTTCACTACCCAAAGTAGCTCATCTTCCAAACATTTCTCTTAATAATGATTTAAAAAAAAATTCAGCAGACAATGTTACTTTATTTATGATAACTGGATTTTTTTGCGATTGCTTTACTTGGTTTCTGTTGTGTGATATTGTGTGATTGAAAAATGGTACTTTTATCATGGTCATCACTTCTTGTCGGCCTTTTGGCTGGGAGCAAAGTGTACTATCTGGCCAAGGTCAGATAAACTTCATTTCATCTCTCATTTGTGTTTCTGTGTTCAGAGAGAGCACAATTCAATTGTGTCTCTGACTGCGGACAGTACAGCTGAAAATATTGAGAGGTGTCTGGTCTCGGAAAACTGCTGTCTGTGGCAGTACCCCCTCATTGCACTAAAGAGTGGTGATCAGTAGTAATACTGATGACAGTGCAATTGACGGTTGCAGAAGCTTGGCTATTTTTGGTCCTGGCCCAGGTGCATGCACTAGGTCTCCGCATATTAAACTGACCTTATGTCATATCCTGCGGAAAATAAATACAATTGCTTCTCAGACATTTGGTTAAGATCAAAGTGTTGTATCTGTTCTTATCAGCTTAATCTGATTCTCTCTCTCTCTTTCTTTCTTTCTTTTTGTCACTGAAACCAAATAGTGTCCTTTTCATGAAATCAAAACAGAATAGTCCATTATTTATGACATATTGGCAGGGCGAAACGGTCGTGCGAACGAAGGGGGGACAAACACAATTATGATAAGATACTCTATCAATTAATCTCATGAATATAAAAATTTTTTTTGATTTTTTTAAAGTTTTAAATGGGGGTTCAGTTTGCTATATAAATTAATTTTAAACTGATCCCCCAGCCCACACTCCCACACGTTAAGTAACAGAAATAAGAAGAAGAAGAAGAGGAGGAATAAAGAGAAAATAAGTAAGAATCTTTGTGTTGTAATTTGCCATGGTTAAGTGTAATCAGCAAAATGCTCAGCAGACAGAATTATTAAAGTTTTCAATAAACCATAAGAAAAGAAAGGAAAAAGAACAGGGCAAAATAATACTAAGCAAAATATATATGTGCAAGTCAAAAGTCAATAAAGAAGACAAAATAGTTCACAAAGCAAAAATTCTGTTCACACCCAAAAGGGATACAGTCAAGTGATTATGTAGCATTCTTACAAGACAAGAAGGAACAAAAATAAATATGGCGGATGAGATCAACAATTGGTTCATTTTTATTGGTTAGGAAAAAATCCAAGCCTGCATTTTTAGATTTTACCTATAAATTTAGAACTGGGATGTTCTTAGTAGTCATTCTTAAATTGTAACCAATAATATTCTTTAAATTCATATTTTCTAACCACCTGAAGAAGGCCAGAGCATACAACGGCCGAAACATTGTGATAAATTATGGCGACAAAGATGAGGACAATAGTCTGAATAATGTAAATAATGTACATAATACCTCCTCTCAGAAATATAGACAGACTCTGTTTTGAAATTATTTGAAATTTTGCATGTTAGTATTTAAACACCATACAGAAAAAAACATAAGATATTCTTTAAATAATATAAATATTAACTTATTTTAGAATAACTTTTATTTTTATTAAAAATATTTTAACTTGAAATTATTTGAAATTTTGGCGGTAATAATATGTGGTATGAGCATAATTTTTTGGCTTGGTTAGAGGGATCAGTATACAATGAATTTACATAGCAAACTGAACCCCCTTTTTTAAATTTAGAAAACTAAAGAATTAAACACTATTTCATTAAATTGTTTACATACTAGTAAAATTTTATATTTACAAGTTTATAAAATTATGCAAAGCAACTACAATATTACAAACAGGGCTTATGGCCATATCATTTTGAAAAACCAGTTCTCATATGATCATCAAAGTTAAACAACGTCGAGCCTGGTCAGTGCCTAGGTGGGTGACTTGGGAATACAATGTGCTGTAAACTTGGATGTGCAGGTGGTGTAATGAATAATGGTTCAGAATTGGAAATCAGAGAGCTGAGGTCAAATTCCAGTCAGGTTTGTTATATTCATTTACATGCAAAAACCCTTGGGAAAGGTATGAATGTGTCTCTCTTCCCCCAGCTATGGGTTAATTAGTAGGTCTTGTATCAGTAAATCTTTATTATCTCCAAAAAATTCTTACAATCTAAAAACATTTTCTAGCTTTAAGTAACCTGCAAAAGGTTGCTAAGTAGCAAGAGTTGTGCTATGGCGGAGCCAACTAAGGGAGATAACCATATGGATATATTGACCCTGATCATCAAGTTTGGTGGGAAAGGACAACAATGGCGGACACATAAACACGTGCAAAACATGGCTTTATTCAATCTTCTCCCAATCTGCTGGTAACATGTCGGTATTGCCAAAAATAAAGGTTGAAATAATAACAATATCTAATCTTCAATTTGTTTATTTCGTTATAACAGCAGTTATAACAATTTGGCAATGAGGATGAGATAAAACATCACAGCAAGAAAATTTTTTTGTCTTTCATCATGGACAATCTAACTTAACAATTTCTTCAGCAACAGATGAGATTAACAGAACTGTTTGCAAATAAAATTTCCTGCACAACACTGTCACAAGAGACCAGTTTATCTACAGTGGAATCGATTGCACAATCCATCACAAAATTGCACTACAATCCAGCTGCAAATTCAATTTTCAACAATCTTTTTTGTCTCGACTTTTCAGTGCAAACTAACGAATGGAAAGTCAGGCTTCTTCTATAAAAGCTTGGAGTGCCGGAACACAAGAAATATACCAACTATATTCTCTCTAAACAGCCGGGTGACTGCTTAAAACAAACAGTAGAGATATTGACACAAATTTTTGGTGGGCAAACATCTATTTTTAATTTACATTTCAATTGTTTGAATTTGTCGAAATTGGATGATACAGATTTCACCACATGTGCCAATATTGTCAACTGGGAATGTGGAACATTTTGGGCTCTCATTAATCACAGATTCCCAATTTAAATGCTTAATTTTTGTCTGTGGCTTGCGTTCACCAAGTGATACAGAAATTCGTACTGGATCCTGTCAAAAATTGAACGGAATCCCAACATTACACTGCAACAAGTGGCAGTTGAATGCCAACACCTTATAAACTTAAAACATGACTCCTCCATGGTTCAATATTCAGCCCCTTCCACTGCTATTACAGTCAACAGGGTTCAACGACAAGACCAAGCAGAAAGTCCAACATCAGACAAAAGGGATGGCAAGCCCCCCCGTCCGTGCGTTGGAACTGTGCTGGATGGCATTTTGCATGTAACTGTCAAGAAAACATTGCTGTCAGGAATGTAACAAAACAGGACACAAGGATAGGTTCTGTCAGTCACCTTGATACAAACCAACATCTTACATGGCAACCCTCCAAAAGTTTACAATCTGACAATCTGGTAGCAACTTTCTTGCCCAATTCCAAGTCACGACGTATATGGTTAGCTTAAATAACCATGACATGCAACTGCAAATTGACACTGCCTCAGATATAGATCTAATTTAAAAAAAATCAAAAAACTATGGAACACCATAGGCAGGCCTAAATTAGAGCCAACATTGCATATTACATGGAGTGTGACTGGAGATAGTGTCAGTATTACTGCCGAATTTACAGCCAATGTCACTCTAAATAGGACCAGCACATCAGGTGTTGTTTATGTAGCAAACAGACCATAACCTTTTGGGGATAGATTTTATGGAGTCACTGGGCCTCCTCAACACCCTTCTCAACTCTGTATGCAATTTAGTAGCCAGGTCTTCAAAGAGGATCACACCAGCATCCTCGCCCAAGTCTTCACCAATGGTTACGCTAACATCTGCACCGAGGTCTTCAAAGAGGACCACCGCATCATCTTTGCCCGGATCTTCACTTGGAGCCACTCCAGCATCCATGTGCAAGTCTTCGCTGAGGATCACACCAGCATCCTTGCCCAAGTCTTCACCAATGGTTACACTAACGTCTGCGCCGAGGTCTTCTAAGAGGACCAACCCAGTATTTGCTAGAAATTACCAACCTGGTAATCCGAGCTGTGTACCCAGTAGCATACAGGCAAGAAAAGGAAAAACAATGTACAAGGTTAAAGTTGGAAACCAGGTCTGGGTGTGACAAAGAATGACCTGATACCTGACAGCCTATCCATTCACTTGGACTTACTCATGGACACCTATGATTTACCAAACCTCTAACCAAATCAGCACCAGATAGTCGTGGTGAACAAAGCCAAAGGCGATCAAAACACATTCGGTCAAAATTAAAACCCTTACAAGTAAACTCTAGACTTGCAAGATACAATACCTAAAAAACAGGGAGTTGCTATGGCAAAACTAATAAACTAGATAAGTGTACAGATTTATTAGCCTTGATCTGTGAGTTTGGTATGAAAGGACAACAATGGCGAACACATAAACACACTTTATTCAATCCTATCCCATCCGCTGTCTATATATCGGTATTACCAAAAATAAAGGTTTAAATAATAACAATATCTGATTTTCAATTTGTTTGTTTCATTATAACAACAGTTACAACAAAGAGTCAGAGTTCAAGTGGAACTTCCTCCTTACTAAAGGAATATGAGGGCTGTTCATCTCAGTGCATGCAAACTGGAGGTTCTGCTGTGAGGGTTAGTTATTAGAACTAAGGAATGCAGTTTGTCTGAACACTAATGGAACTAAACCTTCTTCAGGCTGATTTTGAATTCAAAGTTTTCCTTCTTATAGGCAGGTTGCCACCTTATGCCAAAAGAGCCTTGCCTGCCTTGCTTATTTAACCCATAGCTGGAGTCAATTCTTTTTCCAAGTATGTTAGCACAGAGTGAATGAAACAGAATCAAGCAGAAATTGAACTCAGCACAACTAATTAATTTTCCACACTAATATCCCTTACACCACCCATGCCTCTAGGTCAAGTTTAGCAGTTATGTCCCATACGCATTACACGCTTAGGCGATCATGTATCTTTCAATACGTGACTGACGAGGCAGATTTTGTCCTGCAGTAAGATGCCATTTCTTTCTACGGTAGACCAGTTACCATCCAAGGTTATATTAGCCGGTCTGTCCTGCTATTTACCCATAGCTGGGAGGAGAAGAAGATTCATACCTTTCCCAAGGATATTAGCACATAAGTGAATGTAATGGATTCGACTGGAATTTGAACTTGGCAATAATGCCACTAAGATGCAAGGGACTACTGGGAGTGAAAGTGAATGAAAAATACTTTAAAAGCAAGTGGAAACTTAATCTTAAACAAGAAACAAGGGATAAATCTCTACACCTGTACAAAAGATCGGGGAGGAGTATGAACCGGACGATAGGAGAGCCTATCTACTTCTATACCTGAGATAAGTTTTTCACAGAATTTCATATCTCAAGGATAATATATGATCCATTGCTAAACATGCTGGAAAAAGAGTCAGTTCCTTGTATCATTCCAGGAAGTACCTGACTCCTCCTGGCATACTCTAGCTTTACACGAGTTAGATCAGACCATATAAATGATACTGCTGCCATACCTGGACTGGATTTGCCCTGTCATCACTTTCCAGTTTTGATAGAGTCCAAAAATGTCTACAGCCTCTTTTCCACAGATGAAATCTCACAGCCCTATCGCTGCTCTGTCATTGATTGAAATGTTCAGACGCACTACATTTCGTAGTGTCACCAGTCCATACCATCACATTTGGGACCCGCCATACCATGTACACAACATTGAATCATCCTCATTCTCTTCATATTCCATTGGTATGGAAGAAGTTTCATTCAAATTCTCCAGAAATTCTACCTTATGGAACAGACTCCCAAGAGGATGCTTTCCTGCTCACTACGATCTTCATGGATCGACTGTTATCTATCCTACATATCTCCATAAACTTCGCCTCTTATTCCTTCCTTGTATGCCCTTACAAAATCCTTATTTCATAACTCCCTCTACCTTGAGTGGCTCTAATAAATGAAAGTGTGTAAGTGATGTTTTTGAATATTTTTTTTAATGTAAATTACTATTTAAATTATTTCAGTTTGGATTAATTGATGTCTTATATATTTTGAATAACACAAGGTTAAGGATTTAACTGTTTTCTTTCAATTTTTTAGCATTTTTTTGTAGTCATGTACTCACTTTTATTTACTAGACATTAAATTGTATCACTTTGAGTCCTCCATAGCTTTCAGGACTTTTCAGCTAACCTGATGGATATTTATGAGTGTTCTTAAACTTAAAAATTTTGGAAAACCAATAACATTTTTGCTCTTGTATATAAATACTTGATACAAAATAAATTCCATGCATTTATCTTGATAAAGTCCCACAGACGACGAAACACACCAGCTAAGATAAGTTTTCTTTTTGTCTTTATACATATTGTCTTTTTACAGATATACTCTATCTGAAATTATTACATACACACACGCACACACACACACACATATATATATATATATATATATATATAACAAAATAATAAATAAGCATATATACACTGGTGTGCAAAACGGACTTTATCAAAACATTTGCCTTGACAAAGTTCCCCAGAGGATGAAACATGTCGGCTAAGATAATGTTTTTCTTTGTCTTTATTCATATTGTCTTTTACAGATATACTGTATCTGAAATTTTTACACACACACACACACATATATATATATATATATATATATATAATATTAGTGGTTAATACACACACACACACACACACATATATATATAAATACATACACATACATATATATATAAAAATTTCCAAGAGAATAGAATCCAGATATATATTTTACTATGAGTAAATAGGTTTGACTATCACTCTGTTCACACTTCTCCCAGGTCATTTGAACAGGAGTAAAGGTTTATCCTTTGTTTCCTGTTTAGGATTTGGTTTCCAGTTCCTTCTAAAGTCTACTTCAACTCTATACTTCTAACGTCTCTGCCTAAAATTCTGAATTTTTATTTTTTTTCTCTTTTCTACATAGGTGTAGATAGGTTCACCTATCACCCGGTTCAGACACCATCCCGGTCTTTTTGAACAGTAGTAGATGTTTTTCCCTTGTTTCCTGTTTAAGGTTGGGTTTCTGGTTCCTTCTGAAGATTTTTTTTTATACATAACCCACTACCTCAAGTGGATTTTGGGTATTGTACAGAGTGAATATACTGAGTGTAACGCAAAAATTGTCCGATTGTTAGATTAAACTCTGAACCGTTGTATCTTAGAAATGATTAAAGATATCTTACTGAAATTCTCTGAGGTTTTTCTAACACTATTGGACTCTACCTTGTACAATAAGAATGTATAATTACTCTCTAAGCTTAACAGAAGAATCGTGATGAAATCAATCATATACAAAAATTAAATGTTTATCATTAATTAATCATAGCTAAGGATTGAAGCTCATGAAGGATTGAAATAAATTTCATACTTATATATATATATATATATATATATATATATATATATATATATATATATATATATATATGTGTGTGTGTGTGTGTGTTCTGGGATCATTTCCAACTTATTCTCTAACCTTCTAACTTTCTGTCCTGGAGTAGCAGGGTGCCTCACTGGTTTCATGTATGATTTAATTTCCAAGCCATTTTTCACTGCTCTTTGGACTGTCATTACTAAAACTCCTCTCTCATGTGCCAAATGTCTTATGGATTGAGTTGGATCTTTTCTAATTGATCTCTTTAGCTTTAAGTTGAAATGAAATCCCTCTTCTTGTTGTGACCTCTTGATTCAGTTTTCCTCTCTACTGTTCCCACTTTTTTAAACTTATTCACCATTCTCTTGATGGTTCTTGAATGGACTTTGAAGATGGAAGCCATAGTATGAACGTTGGTACCATTATTGAAGACCTGGATGATCTTTTTCCTCTCAACATTGCTCATTTGGGAAAACATAATGGGGCTGACACAAAATGATTTTAACTTGTTCTCTTTATAGCTGAATAACTCAAAGGGTTTTTCAACAATTCTTATGACAAATAGTGTCAAGATGGCTAAATGTCTTATCTGGAAACCTGTTAAAAAGAAACTCAATTAGTTTAGTGTTTTTTATTTTATTTTTAGATATTAAACATTTTGTGGAATGAATAATTATATACTCTTACATGATTCGGACAATTTTGCTGTTACACCCAGTATATATGTCTCTCAACTTCACACAGTACTAGATTGGCAGTTATTCATTGTCAAAATTGTTAGTTGTAACCATAAGTTCTATGGTAATTACTCACACAATTAAATTGTTTTTAAAAAAAATAACAGTATTAAATATAGGCTTTAAAAAAGAATTCAATATTATAGGTTCCTAAACAAAATCTCCAGTATTAAATAAAGTCTTTTTTTAAAAAGAAAAAATCCAGTATTAACAATAGGTTTCTAAAAAAGGCCAGTATATAATATAGGGTTAAAAAAATCTTACTTATTATAAGACGCAGATAGTGTGTGTGTGTGTGTGTCTGTATGTTTATATATTGGATCGGATTTCCTACATTTTTCAACCGATTTCAACAAAACTTCACAGGACTGTGTAAAATTACCTTGCAGTGGTTCTGACAGTGCCAAAAATTGAAAAAACACAATTGTTTTTGCACAAATCAATTTGAAAACACGATTCTGTCGCCGGAATGAAAGGGGGACAACCCATATCGAGTTATACTTATTATAAAACCCAGGTTGTTTGTGTGTGTTTGTTTATATATGGTATCAGATTTCCTACATTTTTCAACTGATTTCAACAAAACTTCACTTTTTTTGGCAGGTAGTGTTTCTTATTGTCTTGCACACTTTTTTCTTCTATTTTTACATTCAGAATGCTTTAAAAATTCCATTTACAAGACAATTGTTTATAATAAAATTCTATTCAAATTCAATTGGTAGACTCATAACGATTGAAAACAATGTTTTTGTTTGAGTTTGGGTTTGACCAATTCATAAAAAAAAAAAAAAATAAAACTAATTAAGACATCCATCAACCTTAAACAATAATCTTTGTCAATTTTATTTTTCCGTCTTTATGATGGTCGATACTTGATCTATCTCTTACTGTTACATTGCCAGGCTCTACTGCTAGTCCAGTATAAAATATAGATTTCTAAAAAGATCCATTATAAAATATAGGTTTCAAAAATTCACGTATAAAATATAGGGTTAAAAAATCCAGTATAAAATATAGATTTCAAAAAAATCCGGTATAAAATATAGTAAAATATAGGTTTCAAAAAAAATCCAAAAAAATCCAAAAAATCCAGTATAAAATATAGGTTTCAAAAAAATCCGGTATAAAATATAGGTTTCAAAAAAAAATCCAGTATAAAATATAGGTTTCAAAAAAAAATCGAGTATAAAATATAGGTTTCAAAAAATCCAGTATAAAATATAGGGTTAAAAAAATCCAGTTTAGAAAAATCCAGTATAAAATATAAGGTTAAAAAAAATGAAACTCTGTCCTGTCTTCTTGCTTTTCTGTCATCTACGATCTTCAAAAATTTAAATGCATTATCAGTTGTCATTTTCTGTCTCCTTGCATGCTGTTCTTTTATTGTCTTCTCATTTTCTTTCACTATCAGTAACCCTAGTGGCTTTATTACCTTGTTCAGAGTGAAATGATTAAAAGCACAAAAAAACACTAGACATTATATCTCTTCTCCCAGAACTGAACAGAAAGAAATGCCAGATGTTTGTTTTGAATTTCTGGGTTTAGGTATTGTCCTTATTGAATATTTTTTTTTCAGACCGACATCCTCATCTTTGTTTCTTTTTATCACAAGCTTCTGCCAAAACAGCAAATGCATTGTGTGACAAGACAAACAAAATCAAGAGAATATAATTTTACTTTGTTTAAGAGAATTACATACTTGAGGGGGAGGTTTTATTTATTCATTTTGTTAATAAAACTTGAAATATGTTGTCTTTAATGTTGTGCCGAACAACAAATTCCACAAAAAATAAAACGGCGTAAAAAAAAAAAAAAAGAGGAGAAAAATAAATAAATTTTAAACCATTTTTAGGCTATTTTAAAAGGCTTCTTTTTTTTTTGTTTTAAAAAAAAACTGAAATTTGAAAATAATTTTCTTGATCACAGATTAAGCCTTTAATGGTCACTATAAAATCCAACAATAATGATAAAAATAAAAATCTTGTATTATAGGTTTCTAAATATTTGGTGGGTGTGCAGGCGGTGCAACAGATAGTAGATTAGAATGTGAAATTGGAGAGCCATGTTTCAATTACAGTTGAGTTTGTTACATTTACTTACATGCTTACTTGGGAAGGACATGAATTGATCTCTTCCCCCTCAGATAAGGATTAAATTGTAAGACTTGTATCTGGGAAAATCATTGTTATTCTTAAAAAATTGGTTATTCAATAATCATTAAAATAAAAAAGAAGAATTATTCTTATAATCCACAAAATATATTTTGGGTTTAAATAAACCACAAATGGGTGATTCAAACTCGCAGCCTAACACTTATATTGCTTGCATCACATTTCTGACATTAATGATAAAAATTTTAATTTTAAAATTAAAATGTTCTTGAAAAAAATTCCTGCATTAATGATAGGCTTTAAAAAAGAGTTCAATATTATAGGTTACTAAACAAAAACTCCAGTATTAAATAAAAAATTTTTAAAAAGAAAAAAATCCAGTATTAACAATAGGTTTCTCAAAAAAATCCAGTATAGAATAAAGATTTCTAAAAAGATCCAGTATAAAATATAGGGTTAAAAAAAATTCAGTATAAAATATAAGGTTAAAAAAATCAAGTATAAAATATAGGTTTAAAAAATCAAATATAAAATATAGGTTTAAAAATCAAGTATAAAATATGGGTTTAAAAAATCAAGTTTAAAATATGGGTTTAAAAAATCATCTATAAAATATAGCTTTAAAATATCAAATATAAAATATGGGTTTAAAAAATCAAGT